TTAATCTAAGACCTAAATTGTCATGTCGATTTGGTTAAATAAATGTATGAACTTCCACTTCTGCCATAAAGGATTAAGTAATTTGTACTAACTTTCCTCCTTAGGAAAACAAAAACAAAAGCAAAAAAAAAAAAAAAAACTTAGACAAAATAATGAGAAAAAAATAACATTTTAAAGGCATTAAAAGAGCTAAAAATGAGTGAGGAATTGCTTGGCAAAGATTCAGAAGACGGAAATTCGGAGGTGAATCTGTCATCAAGGCTTCTATTGCCCAGGAGAAATTTGCCAAGCAGTGCTTACGACAGTATCACTAAGCCAGGGAATCAACATTGAGAATCCTGGGTTACAGGAGAAGAAAGGAGACTTGCTCCTCATGGGATATCCCTTTGCATCTTTTGATTTTAATATTATGTACAGGTACCACATTCAAACAAAGGAAGATCCAAGAACCATCAATACTATGCACCAAACCAGTTAGTGAATAAGAATAGTAAATTATACATTCCTTAGTGTCACATGGCACATATCTATACTCTATTTTTTCAAAATATAAAACCTAATGTTATCTTGAGATCTATAACATAATAAAATGCACATACTGTTATACTTTATATACTCCATATTTAGGAATCTAAAGATAGGGCTTAGAAAGGAACACATATTTTGGTACTATGGAATACAATTCTAAAAATATTAAAAATTTGCTTTTAGTGATCAGTCAATGCCCCTAGAAGGCAACTAACACCTAAATATCTGATGGTTTAACTTTAAAATTCTGGACCAGTATTCCATTCCATTTACCACTATAATGGTTTACAATGCAGTTACCAGGATTGCCAAAAATGGATCATGAGTTAAAAAGTTAGAAATTATAATCGGAATGGTATTTTTCATCCTGTAATAGAACCACAGGTTGAGTCTAGATATTCCTTATTTAAAGATAGGCTATATATATATATATATATATAATCATACAGGCTCACTAGTGAAACTGATAATGTAATTAACTCTGTGAAATACTTCAGAGACTACAGATGAAATTTTTAAACTTTTAGCCAACCAAATTCTCTAAGGATGACTGCAATGTGAATTTTTATAAACATTTTCTCATTTTGATACAGAAAAGAAGTTCAGGTAGTTTAAGAAAGTGACTTGTAGAGTAGTGCAACCATCACTTCAGCTGAATTCTGATTTGCACAGCAGGTCCAATCTGGCTACATAGTTTTTTAAAAAATGAAAATTATAAAAAAGAAGTTGCTGTGAATAGCAACAATAAAGAGTATAAGGTAGAAAAATGAGGCAATTAAAGAGTTAAGGATTCAGAGTCCAGATGAAATAAAGAATGCAAAGGCAATAACTCTAAGAACAAACACATAAAAGGTCAATAAAGAATATAAATGCCATCTGTTTTCATGTTTCCTAACAGTAATATTGAGGACATCTTATTGTTTCTATGTAACCCAGTGTTCCTTCATTATCTTGTGGTAAACAGCACCCCTCTCCAACTCTCAAGCCATCCAGCTTAAGTGGGATTGAGTCAAGCTCCAGCTCCAGAGGCAGCTGTCATTCAGAATGGCCCATCCCACTGGCCAAGGGATTGGTGCAGAGATAGGAAGGTCATCCACTTAGAGGTGCTCAGGGAATTTTGTTGAGGAATCTAGAAAAGAAAAACTGGGCAGCTATTTTGCAACTTTGAGAAAGCTGAGATCCAGTCAAACAGTCTCCAGAAATCACCTCTCAATCTAGACTACGAATACCATGGTGGATTGTATACTATTTCAATACTTCTCTTATGTGTGGAGACGCAGCATAGCACAGGGGTTAAGAGCACAAACTACAGAGCCTGGCTCTTGATCTTAACCTCAGTTCTGCTTCTTATTAACTGTGTGACCTTGGGCAAGACACTTGAGCTCTCTCTCAGTTTCCTCATCTGTAAAATGGGAATAACAGAACTCAGTAGGGTTGAAGTTTAAATGAATGAATACATGAAAAGCAATCAGAACATTCCCTGGCACAGGGTAAGTGCTATATAAATGTTAGTTATTATTATCGTTGTTGTTATGAGGATTAGATGAATAAATGGAAAGTGTTTAGAACAGTGTCTGATGCATAGTAACCCTGTATACATATTATCCATTATTAAAACGACCAATTCTTTCATTCACTCAGCAAGTATTTATTGAATACCTCTTCTGTGCCAGGCCAATGTCTTCATTCTAGACAAGCAGTATCCAACAGAAATGTAATGTAAACCATGTATGTGAGCCAAGTATGTAACTTTAAATTTTCTAGTAGTGACATAAAAAATAAATAAAATTAAATAAATAAAATTACTTTTAGTAAAATACGTTCTTTAATTTCCAAAATATCATTTCAACATATCAATATTAAAACCAAGATAGTTTACAGTCTTCATTTCATTCTAAATCTTTGTGATCTGGTATTTTGTACAGTACATTTCAATTCAGACTAGCCACATTTCAAATATTCAACAGCTACATGTGGCTAGTGGCTAATGCTTAGTTTCAGACATTAAAGAAGGTTAGGGAAAGAGGGAAAATGCTATCTTTGTCCTCTACCACATCTTGTTACTAATTATATAATTTGTCATTTTTCAAAGTACTTTCACCTTTGTTATTTGAGAGGCACATGCTTTGCCTTGAAGGATTGATTCGATTTTAGCAGGTGGAGAAAGTTCCCTTCGAGAGGAAACACATGAGCAGAGGCAACAAGGCAGGAAAACAAAGGGTCTATTAGGAAGGTAGAAATCAGAGAGCAAAATCTAAGATATATCAGGAAAGCCCTTAATGCCATACCAGGGAGGCTCAATGTTGTTTGTCAGGTGGTGGGGAGAAACTGAAGGTTTGTGAGTGGAAGAGGCAAGATAGGATTAAACTAACAGCTGAAGATAGCATGAAATGGAGTATGGAGAAACTAGAGGTAGCTCATTAGGAAATCACTGCATTAAATCTCAGGCAAAAATGATCTAGATAAAGGAATGGGGAGGAAGAGATAGCCTCACAATGTCTGATACTCATGAGATCCCAATGTTAGTTTCTTTCTTCCTTTGGCAATTGGAGAGATTTTAAGGAATTGTCAAAAAAAAAAAAAGGTCTAAAAAAATCTCATTCAACCAACCAACAAATATCTGAGCACCTACTACTTGCCAAGAACTATGATAGACCTTGAAGATTATAAAAGACAATAAGGCAGACAGGATTCCTGACCTCTTACATCTTGTATTTTCTTGAGGGCAAGAGACAAAAATCAATTATCAGGTTTCACAATGTGAGTTACTATGAAGAAAATAAATACGGAGATGAGTGGCCAGGGAAGGGTACCCAGAAGTGGTGACAACTAAGCAGAGAGCTAAAGAATAAAATGAGCTGGATGTGCAGAGTCAGAGGAGGAGGGTTCCAGTAGAGAGACAAGCAAGGCAGAATCCTGGAGATATCAGTAAAATCCTGGGTGTTCACAAACTAAAACAACAGTGTTGCCAGAGCATAATCTGGGTGGGGGTGTTCACAAACTAAAACAACAATGTTGCCAGAGCATAATCTGGGGGGGGGGTGAGGGAGAGGTGTGGCCGGAAGTACAGTGAGAGGAGCAATCAAGAAGACAAGTCACCTTGGGCCTGTAGGCCATGACAAGGAACTGGATTTTAAGAGCAATAGGAAATCACTATATTTTAATGTCCAAAAGTTTTTAGGCAAGGGAATGAGATGATCTCCCTTTTAAGATCGATCTTGCTACAGTTTGTAAAACTGCCTAAGGATGGTAAAAGACGGCACCCGAGATTTCAGTTAGAAGGAAACTAGCATACAGCAGGTGAGAGATGATGGTGGCACGGTCTAGATTAAGAAAGGCCCTTGGGAAAATTAACGGCCCCGCCCTAATATTTTTGCAGAAATGATCCTTTATGATTGCGCTGCACAAATCCCAAATGAGGTGAAGGATGTTGTCTTGTCCTATTATGAACTTTTCTGGGGGAAAATGCTCTCTCCAAAATCAACATAAAATTAGATCTTTGTCACTTCTAAGTATTAGAACATAAAATCTTAACCGACGTTGTTAAACTCAAAATACATTTCCAGCATGTAATTTTCATTTTCTGGAAGGTGATTAGGAATCTTTCCAAAGAGATGACACATGGCTTGAGAACTGGGTGGGGGGAAGCCAAAGGAAGCAGTTATTAGGTCTCCACGCTGAAAGAACAGCGAAGTGCAGAGGCCTTGAGATGGGAATGAAATGGCCACGTTCAAGGAACAGAAGCAGCCCAGTGGCTGGAGCAGAGTAAATATCCATAGTATGTGGTCCACATTTAGTGAATGTCCAAGACATGCCTTCTAATTCGTCTGTCAACAAAGTGGTCATAAGCAGTCGCCATCAATAAGAAACAAGCAGAGAAAGGGTCTACAGTTCCAGTTGCCCCTCAAAAGGCTAAGAAAAACTCAGTTTCTGGTGAACAAAGGTAGAGATGTTTATTTGAAATAGAATGAATATATCTAGGAGGAGCCTGGCAGTATATTCCCAAAGGCGTGACAATAAAATTCCTTAACGTGTAGTCAGCACCCTCCTACCAAATCTCACAAGCTCAGCACCCTCAAACCTCAACACGTTTGGAAAATTCGGAAGCATTTCCTCCTGTCAGCGGCCCTTCAAGCCACTTCATACAGGACAGCCTCTCCTACCCCGACCTGGAGCCTATCAATCAACGAGAAAATATCTTCCCCTCCCTGGGCGGTGCAAACCAACTCCGCGCGATCAAGTTGGATAGAGGACTGGAAACCGAGGGCTTACAGGGCAGTCCTTAACGTCATATCCGGTTGTCCGCTCAGCCGGCCTCGCCTAACCGGAAGTCGCCGGTGTGACGACGCAAAAACGCCCATCGGGGGCGCGTCTCTCTCAGCAGCCAATGGGCTCTGCCTACCTTAGGCCTCGTCATCATTTTGTCTAATTGCGTCCTGTGACGCTCGAAGGGCGGGGGGCAGAGGGAGATACAGAGGCCGAGAGGGGCCAGGCGCCCGGTCGATCTGAAGCCGGGTAGTGGGAGAAGATGGTTTACATCTCGAACGGTAAGTTGAGAGCGGACTGTGGCTTCGACCGGTGACTTGTAAGATCGGACCCCAGGTTCCTTTCATCGTCGCTCGCTGAGTGTTGGATCCGGTGCGGCTTCCCCAGGCTTAGCGCTCCGCGGCCGGGCGGAGCTGGACGCGAAGTCGCCCCGGCTTGTGGCGCCTCAGCAGATGGTGTCCGAGCCGGCAGTCGGGGGCCGAGGTCCCGCCGGCCTCACGCTGAGTATTGGGAGCCCTGCAACCCCGCCTTAGTATAGCAAGCGCTTGATTGTGGATTTGCGAGGGTGGTCTTTCCTCTCGGGTGTCGGTATCCTTAAAACTAGTGAGGACAAGGACGTCGATGCTGTACACGTAGCGGTTGTGCTCTGGGCACTGTTTCAGTTATTTGCTTATCGTCACATTGAATCCTGTTTTACGGGTGGAAACTCTGAGGCGCAGATAGATTAAATAGCTTGCCCAAGATCACAGAGGTAACAGTTAATGGCTGAGTCGGGATTCGAACCCAGGTAGGCTGGCGTCAATGTCCTTGTTATCTACTTTGCTGCCTCTTTCTACAACGTGTAAAAAGACCGAGCCGACCTAGGATGATAATTATATGAAAGCTTTGCATCGGCTTTTTCCCCAGGAGAGGGTAGCTAGTCATACATGGAACGTTTTGCTCGAATTTCAAGGGGCACGGGAAGAAGTACTATCTTCCCCTAGGAGCAAGTTAATTATTTCCGGAATGGAGAATCCGAGAGACTTAATTCTGCGACCTCACAAAGAAAATGACCGAAAAGGAAGGACATGACTGTGTCAGATCAATGCTAGAGCTGCCTGCCCACCTGTTTGACTCAGGTGAAATTTTTTGGTGCAGCCTTAACAAGGAGTTGTGGATCACTGGAACTAGGTCTTGGTTCTATTTGAGTCATCTGTTTTTCTCCACAGACGAGTAAGGTAGTTGATGAGAAGCCTTCTGGCCGAGTGCACTTTTGCATTTCTTGACTTTTCAAAATCTCCCTTCCTCATCTCCCACTTAAAAATCTTTGAAATAAGTAGATTGATGGACACTACAGAAAAGCATCAAAATTCCATCTTAGTTTTGGGCGCTTTCAGACTTTAGTCTGTTTTATAGCCTGTTTCCTAGCCTTTGTGATACAAGCTTAAGGCTGGAAGCTTTTGTATGAATCATTGAATAATTCCTTGTATTTGTTGTGTCTTACTGTGTTCGCATTATTTTATTTGGTCCACATAAGTAGCCGATTAGGACCCTTTATCGCACTTTAAGGGTTGAGAAACGCAACTGCATTCAAACACCTTACTTCTCTCTGGGGATATTGGTGGAAGGGACATTCTGCCTTCAGAAAGGGAAAGTGGAAAAGCAAGATTGAGTCACAGAGGAAGAAATGACAGGTTCCAATTAGATCCACCTTCTTAGGACTGTATTATCAGCACTTAATGGACAAAATCTTTCTCTTACTGTCAGATGACTTTTTTTTTTCCCCCCCTCTCAACAATCTTATGTGATGGCTAGCCCTGGAATACTTTTTGTTGGAGAAAGAAAATGTCACATCAGCCAACGAAGCAGAGCTAGTAAGAGGCAGAGAACTAAGCCTGTCATCCATCCTCTAAAGTTTTGTAGCCCCTTGCTCTCAGTAGCACAGTGAGAGCTTAGATCCAAGTGGATATCTGAAATTAAGCTGGTCAAGAAGACAAAAGTAAACCCTCGTGGAGTGGGTAGAGGTGATTGGGGTTAACTCTTGGGATAATGGAAAGGAGAGGTAGTTGACAGTTATTCTTCCCCCCAAATATTCTGACATCTTGATTTGCAAGGCTGAAATGATAGTGTACCAAATTATGTTATAGCTTGTATTAAAGTGGTTTGAAAAATAGATCCAGTTTTGCTTAAGATAAAACGAGAGTTTATTAGAATCAAGAGTATGCAATTATAGAAAACAGTAGTTATTTTAATGAAGAACAAGACAAATTCTCTTTACTACTTAGAGCATACACTCTTTATAAGAATTATATAAAAATAATTGATTCCAAAGCCTTGTAAGAGTATGAATAAGCAATCTTTTTATACAGGCAAGAGACTTTGTAAATGAAAATACTCAACACGTTTAGGAATATGGAAGTGGTGTGAGCATTCCTTTATATTCACCTGTCCCATATGTTTCTTCAAAGTACTTGAATAAACAGGTATTTTTACACCCATGTTGATAGCAGCATTATTCACAGTAGTCAGAAGGTTGAAGCAACTCAAGTGTCCATCCACAGATATGAGTGGGTAAACGAAATGTAGTATATACATACAAGGATATATTATTCAACCTTCAGGAAGGAGATTTTGACACATGCTGCAACATGGATGAAATTTGAAGACATGCCAAGTGAAAAGCTGGTCACTAAAGGACAGAAATTGTATGATTCTTCTTTTATGAGGTTCCTAGAGGAGTCAAATTTGTAGGGACAGAAAGTAGAATGGTGGTTGCCAGGAGCTGGGTGGAGAAGGTAATGGGAATCAGGGTTTAATGGGTATAGAGTTTCAGCTGGAGAAGATGAAAAAGTTCTAGAGGTGGATGGTGATGATGGTTGTACATCAATGTAGAATGTACTTAATATCACAGAACTGTACTCTTTAAAATGGTTAATGATTGGTAACCATTGTTACATTTTTAAACCATGATAAGTGTTTGTTTCATATTTAATATATATTGTTTTATATAAAATATGTTATATATGTATACATATACATATATACACACACACATATATATGTAAAACAATTTTTGTGTTTTTTTTGAGACAAGTCTCGCTCTGTCACCCAGGCTGGGGTGCAGTGGCGCAATCTGGGCTCACTGCAACCTCTGCCTCCCGGGTTTGAGCAATTCTTCTGCCTCAGCCTCCTGAGTAACTGGGACTACAGGTGTGTGCCACCATGCCCAGCTAATTTTTTATAGTTTTTAGTAGAGACGAGGTTTCACTGTGTTAGCCAGGATGGTCTCAATCTCCTGACCTCGTGATCTGCCTGCCTTGGCCTCCCAAAGTGCTGAGATTACAGGCATGAGCCACCGTGCCCAGCCTTTGTTATATATTTATAGAAAGAAAGTAGTTGAATAGAATGAAGTCACCCACCAAGTTTATAAACTGTAGTAGACTTTTGACATACTAGAGGAATGTCCCTAGATAATGGAACATTACTCCTCCCAACATTTCCTTGGAATGATGCTCACAGATTTCTTCTGGTGTTGGCCATTTGGACCAGTGGGCAAGTTGAAACCCAAGTCAGTCATTGTTACCTAACTAAATGTGATGCCTCTTGGGTTAGGGATTTGTAGCACTCACTAAAGTTTCTTTAATTCTTGTCTGTAGGACAAGTGTTGGACAGCCGGAGTCAGTCTCCATGGAGATTATCTTTGATAACAGATTTCTTCTGGGGAATAGCTGAGTTTGTGGTTTTGTTGTAAGTATAGAAGTGCTTTTAATTGCCCTGATATTTAAGTTGACAGGAGTCCATTGTGTGCATTATGTTAGGTATCTTAAATAAGCTCAGTTTTCCTAAAACAGTTATCTATTGCAATTTTAAAAATAGATTTACACAGGGAAATGGACTTTAGTAATAAAGCTGCTACCACCAGACATCTTATGAGTATATGTTAATTGGATTGGTAAACTTGACCACGTCTTAACCTTGGTGGTAACTACTTCGACCTATGGCTGGGTCTGTCCATTCTAATGCTAAATGACTGGGCCTCACTTTCTCTCTACTATTCTTGTTTTTTTGTGTGTGCGTGCAACATTCATTCCATATTATATAACAGGTAAATAAAGGGTTTTATATCCTTTTTTTAAAAAAAAATCCAAACTAGTGAGGTTTTTTATAATGAAGGGCTAGAATTGGTAAAGGAGACAAAAGTTTAAATGTCTTCATAATTGTAAGCGGTTACTAGATAAATGCATGTTTTGGTCTTTTACATGCTGTTTGTTAGAATTGTTCATCAACAATTAAGAAGTCTTACCTATTCCTAAATTTGAACATATATATTTGAGTGTCTCATGATCAGAGAACTGTAGGGATGGAAAGATATGGGAGACAGACTCTTTTTTCATTGACTTTACTGTCAGTAAATATCTTCATATTGCAAGGGTGGGCATGACTGTGGGAGGTGACCATCAGAGGAAGTTATCCCAGGTAAAGGAAACCACATGAAGGATGAAGAAGTTTGAGTATCAGGCCGTGGTCTTTATGCTTAATTTGATCTTAGCCGTGGTCTCGGAAGTTAAATTTTATGGCTGTATATAGCATAAATTAGATGGTGTAGAATGTAAAATGGAAGAGATGGTTCCATAGAAAAATACAACAGGGCACAAGAGAGGCCCTAAGTTACCCAATCCAAAACTTACTCTTTTACAAATTTCACCTACTCCATGTTGTTTATAAAAGCACTTTATAAACTCAGTTAAATCCTTCCATATAATTTTACGAATCATTTTTAAAAATTCCATTTAAATGGATTCCCAGAAGCCCTGTGCCTTTGCCACACCACCCTTGGCCCCTTCTTCCCCAAGATGTTAGGTAGACTTTTGCAGGGGAAATGAACATGAGACACTGTAAAAACCCGATGGCTGATTTAAAGTGGAGGTCAGGGATGACTCTGGTTTCATGCTTTGTCTAGGGGAGTTACTAGCAAATAAGAAATACAAGGAAGGGTGGATTTGGTGCACAACATGGTGCATTCAGTTTAGACACATGCTTAAGTTCAATGGTGTTGTCCAGCTGGCTGCAAGAAATGTGGGTTAGGACCTAAGTGGGTTTAGTAATCCTCTCACAGAGATGAGAGTTAAAAACCATGGAAATATATTTTAGAATGTTGTCAAAAGTGATACCTTTGTTGTTTTCTGCCCCTTGTTTCAGTTTCAAAACTCTGCTTCAGCAAGATGTGAAAAAAAGAAGAAGCTATGGAAACTCATCTGATTCCAGATATGATGATGGAAGAGGGTACAGCTTTTTAAATTGATAGTTCTTTTTATCTCTTTGTATATCTTAATTAAATTAGATATTTTAGGTAGATAGAGTTAGATTTGTGGAAATTAAGAGTTTAAATCCTGTTTTAGAAAATTAATACATTACTGTAAAAGTCAAATTGCCTCTGATTTGATAATAATCAGAGTTAATCTGACAAAACTAAAATATACATCAAATATCCCATGGGAAAAGTCTAAATTAGAGGATGAAAACTGATGACCAACATTAAAATCTAAAGATTTCTTTTTAACATCCTGATTTCCAGTTGCTAATTAAAAACTTAGAAGACCGCCAGGCGCCGGTGGCTCACGCCTGTAATCCCAGCACTTTGGGAGGTCGAGGCGGGTAGATCACGAGGTCAAGAGATAGAGACCATCCTGACCAACATGGTGAAACCCCGTCTCTACTGAAATACAAAAATTAGCTGGGTGTGGTGGTGTGCGCCTGTAGTCCCAGATACTCAGGAGGCTGATGCAGGAGAATTGCTTGAACCCAGGAGGTGGAGGTTGCAGTGAGCTGAGATTGTGCCACTGCACTCCAGCCTGGAGACAGAGTGGGACTCCGTCTCTAAATAAAAAAAAAAGCCTTAAAGATCAAGATCAACTAGCACTGGGCTAGGCTTATGTTTTTACCTGGCAAAAATCAGCTGGAGCTGGGTTTCACTGGGGCATTACTGGAGGTGCTGTTCAGTTCATCACAATCCTTTCTTGACTCAGTTCCTTGTGTGCATTATGTATCTGGTCCCTTTAAGTGTTTTATTTTTGCCTCCTGACCTAAAATGGTAGTTTCTGTTTTAAATTGTGTTTTAGGATCATGCGGGTGCTGAAAAAGAAAAGGGTCTAGTTGAGTGCTTTTAAAAGGAGACAAAGTTGTGTCTATCAAACAGTAGATACTAACTTTTTGTTTTATTAGGCCACCGGGAAACCCTCCCCGAAGAATGGGTAGAATCAATCATCTGCGTGGCCCTAGTCCTCCTCCAATGGCGGGTGGATGAGGAAGGTAACTTCAGATCTGAAATTCTTTTGTAGGATTTTGTTTTGAAAATGCTTCTGTAGTAATGTTTTCTTTAAGAAGTTGCCCAACAGCTTATAATTATTCAGACATTATTTGGAAATATATTTGTTATCTTAACCCTTGAAAAATTCACTGGCCTTATTATCAAAATGTCTTTTGAGAAAGGTTTTATAACATGTAATAGGTTGGGCTTTTCACACAGATCCAAATTAATAACCAGTAACTAATTATTGTAACATTTTCAGGTAAATGTCTGCTCTAAGAAGCAGACAACTGGACATGCACATTCACAGCAGAAGGAAACCATCAAGAAGTGGAAGGCCGACCATGCTGAGCCGTAGATGAATGTGTCTGTCTAAACAAGGACTGCTCTGTGTCCTCACAGATGAATGAGGTCATGCTAGGAATTCCCTCTACAGGGAACTGGCCTGACTGACATGCAGTTCCATAAATGCAGATGTTTGTCTCATGACCTTTTTGTATAGTTTATTAAAGTATTAATATAGTTTTAATAAGTAAATATTTTTAGGTTGCAGAGTGGACTCCTCATCTTTATATTCACGAAAAAACAATCTGAAGAAAATAAATAAAAGCCTGTGTATTTAGCACTGTTAGTGTCACCTTTTCAACTTCTGAAATACTGTTCATTGTTAACTTTTTCTCATTTATAAATCACACTATTTATTTCAGTAGTATGCATATCATATCTGTGCTCTTGAATTAATCTTTATCTTTAATATATTTGTCTCATCAATCTTTAATACATTGTGTCTGATTTGCTACCAAATATAATTATCAGGGTATTTATAAAGCCATAGCTAACAAAACTGAGCTACAAAATAGAAATTTATTAAATAGTCTTTAAAATCATGGACTTCGGCCTGGCGCGGTGGCTCACGCCTGTAATCCCAGCACTTTGGGAGGCTGAGGTGGGCGGATCACCAGAGTTCAGGAGTTCGAGACCAGCCTGCAACATGACGAAACCTAAAATAACAAAAATTAGCCAGGTGTGGTAGTGTGCACCTATAATCCCTGCTACTCAGGAGGCAGAGGCAGGAGAATCGCTTCAACCCGGGAGGTGGAGGTTGCTGTGAGCACGCCACTGTACTCCTGCCTAGGCGACAGAGTGAGACCCTATCTCAAACAAAATAAATAAATAAATAAAATGGGCTTCCATGCTATCTTGCCAAATTTGCACTCTATAGCGTTGCTCAATATACTGCCTACTGGCTTTAAAATCCATCTGCATATTGATAACTTACATGCTTTCACTAGAGTGGAAGCTCTGAGACTAGGAATTTTGTTGTCTTTACCCCAGTCCTTTGAATAGTGACTACATGTAAGATAGTCATGTAGTACTTACTGGAAATAAATATTTATTGGAAAAATGAATACAGATAACTCTACTTCTAGTGTTTAATAGGCTTTGAAACCAAGTGTTCAGGTGAAAGCCTTTTTTATATTGATTTATCAGCATTTATTCAACCCTGTTTGTCAGGAAATGGGATGTTGTGGCATAAGATACCAGTGTTCAGGATAAAGAAGCAATTACAATGCAGCTTTCAGGATAAGGATAACAGTTTGCTGGCCACTTCAATTATGTGTCAGTTTTTTTTTTTTTTTTTTTGAGACGGAGTCTCGCTCTGTCGCCCAGGCTGGAGTGCAGTGGCCGGATCTCAGCTCACTGCAAGCTCCGCCTCCCGGGTTCATGCCATTCTCCTGCCTTAGCCTCCCGAGTAGCTGGGACTACAGGCACCCGCCACCTCGCCCGGCTAGTTTTTTTGTATTTTTTTAGTAGAGATGGGGTTTCACTGTGTTAGCCAGGATGGTCTCAATCTCCCGACCTCGTGATCCACCCATCTCGGCCTCCCAAAGTGCGGGGATTACAGGCTCGAGCCACCGTGCCCAGCCTTTTTTTTTTTTGAGACAAGGTCTCAGTCTTATCCAGTGGAGTATAGTGGCTGCTCACCGCAGCCTTGACCTTTTGGGCTCAAGTGATCTCCCGCTATGGCCTCCCTAAATGCTGGGATTACACGTGTGAGCCACAATGCCCAGCCTGTAAATTTTTACACATTTTAAATTCTGACGAAGTGAGGGATACATATAATGTATACATATATGCAAAGTGAGGTAAATGTATAATGACATTTTCATTATACAGACACATGCAAGGGTTCAGTAAAGTTTTGCAGCTTCCTAGATTGTATTGCCAGTGAATGGTAGAGGCATTATTAAACCTCCACTTTATAGTGGGGAGACCATGGCAGAGTCTCAGTAGGTGGCTGATTGTTGTTACTGATGGCTTTTCCTGAGCATGCGAACCATGGTCCTCTTCTGTCTCCTAGCACTGCTGCTGCAGGACTTGTTTCTCGGGTCTTATCCCAGAGTCCTGGCTGCATTTGACATTCAGGTGTTCTTTGCACTTCAGAGAGAGTGTAAAACACAGGTTCTTGAGTACTTGTGCTTAACTCTTATCTTTGCTACTCAATAGCTTATGATCTTGAGTGAGTTATGCCATTTTATCCCACTTCACTCACCTGTAAAATGGATTACATTTTTACCAAAGAGTTCTTTATTTAGTATTTAGTCATCACATGCTTATTGGGCACCTACCATGTACTGAAGATAACTGGCAAAGTCTCATGGAGCTTACATTCTAGTGTGGAAGACAGTAAGTGAGCAGGCATGATAATTACAGACTAATGCTTCATGCTTCAAAGGGCATAGGATGGTGAGAGGATAACTGCAGAAGGCCTGAGGTGACATTTGAGTTCAGACGCGAGAATGAGACAGCTGAGGGAAGAGCATCCAAGGCAAAATGAACAGCAAGTGCAACAGCCCGATGACGGGAAGGGCTTGGCGTGTCTGAGAAAGATAAAACAAGTGTAGCTGGAAATGCCAAGGAATGGGGAGAGTGGTGTGAGGTGAAATTAGAAACACAGCAATAACTAGATATGGTCTTTAGGTGGTGGTTTGTTTAGATTCTGTTCCTTGAGCAAAGGGAAACCATTAGAGTTTAAAGCATGAGTGACATCTAATTTTTGAGATAAGTCTTAGTGGAGTGCTGGGTACATAGTATTAACTACATATTTTAAAACAACATGTGGGCAACTATATAAGAACAGATATAGGGGGACAGGACAAGGAATTCGAGTTAAGAGGCTGATGTTGTCATCCAGGTGAGATGAAAGTGGCTTGGGCTAGGTAGTGGCACGGGCATGGAGAAGTGGATGAATTCAAGATCTATTTTAGAGACTGCAGGATTTACTGATGGATTGGATGTAGAAGCTGTTGACAAGTGAAGAATCAAAATGACATTTACTGATATGGTGAAAGTGAGAGGGGAGGGAATCAAGAGTTACATTTTGAACATATTTAAGTTTGCAGTGCCTTGTAGGCAATCCAGATGGAGAGACCAAGTAGGCACTGGTTATCAATCCGAATCTCTCTGAGAGGTTCAGCCTGGATATATATATATTTGGGAGTCGTATTCATTGTTAAAGCCAGGAAACTGGATAGTCACCCAAGGAGTGTGTCTAGAAAAGACCTAACCCCAACATTAGAGGCTGGACTGAACATGAGGACATATGAGAAAAATTAAGAGTACATACAGTATCTGGGAATCCAGGAGAAGAGACGTCTGTGAGGACGAAATAAGTTGCGGGTTATCAGCCGACCCCCACTAGGCGCTCAGAAAGCTACGTGTACTATGTTGCTCGCACCCTACAGAGTCAGGACTAATCACAGAAACACCCCACCCAGTCAATCCACAAGGACGCCCCGCCCCCAGCCCCAGCGCCGGGCAGCCCCGCCCTCGCCTTCCGGAGCCCTCTGGGACGACTCCGCGGCGGCCATCTTGACTGTGGGCACCCGGCCGTGCGCCTGCGCGATGGCCCTTCTGTCCCGGCAGTCGTGGCTGCGGAGCTGAAGCGAGAGGTTGGTGGGTGTTGGCGGCCACGATGACCCAGGCTGAGAAGGGTGACGCGGAGAACGGGAAGGAGAAAGGCGGAGAGAAGGAGAAGGAGCAGCGGGGCGTGAAGCGGCCCATCGTGCCCGCGCTGGTGCCGGAGTCGCTGCAGGAGGTGCGGCTCGGGTCCGGTCTGGGTTAGAACTCTTTACCCTTGCTTGGGTCCTCCGCTGCCGGGCAGGGGGCGGGAGGCGGCTGGAGGCTTCGAGTCCTCCCTGCAGGCCCCAGCCCCTGGTGGGGAGTGCGGAAGTGGTCGTTCCTTTCCGGGTCGTGGCGCGCCGGGACGCGGAGGGCTAGGAGGCGCGGAGCGCCAGGAGCCAGGCGGAGCCCCCGCAGGGACACCGCTGCGTCCCCCCGCACGCCCTACCGGCTGGCTGTGTGCCCTGCGGCCCGGGCTGTGGCCTCAGCTTCCCGACCATAAAACGACCACGGTGATACCAGCCGCCTCGCAGGTTGCCGTGAGGGTTAAATGGTGGCAGATAGAGTTTAGCACCAGGCTGGCTCACTGGGAGCGTCAGCCTGTACTTGTTAAGAGATAGTTCGGGGTCCAGGCTTTTTCCTTTGTTAAGAAATCTCAGATAATGGAAGTCATTTCAAGCAAGGAAATGGTGGACATTTGTCTAAATATATATTAAGAGCTTGTGTATCAAAAACAACACGATTAGACCAAACTAACCAGAAAAAATTATTTGCAGTAGCATGCCTGGCAAAGGACCTCAGAAGTATGCACGCACACAAAACCTTACTGATCAGTAACTAAAACAGCATTCACGTAGGAAAACGGGCACAGGCAGTGTACAATTCACATAAGTGCTCACATAGGGCAGCTACTAGTTAGCTATCACTACTATGACAGTGCCTGGCACACGGCAAGCCCAGAGTGGCCATTACTGTTGGACAGGCCTGGTTTCTCCATCCAGCTAGTTGAGAAGGCTGACTGTGGATGGTCTGTAAGGGCCTTGCCAGATGCTTCCCTCTAGGATTCTCCTACTCTGGGTGGGGGTGATTAGGAGGGGAGAGCTCACACTTGGAGATAGGACAGCAGGTATCAGAGCATGGCATGGAATGGGCTTGTGCAGAGGGCAGTATTGGGCACTCAAGCAAGTACCTCCTCCATCCCCGACAGTCAGGGAGGGTTTCTTCAAAGGAGGTGAGGTGACATCTGTTTAGAGTCCTGAAGGTGATTAGGAGCTAACCAGAGGGAGGAGGGAATCTCAGGAAAGAAGAACAGTGTGGAAGAGACTTGTGCCAACAGAGGATGTGAAGTGTTGGAGGCCCAGCGGTAGATTAGGGTGTCTGGAGTTAAGGAAGGGGACTGGAGATCATAGCGGGGGCCATATCATGAGGGTCATGTAAGCCACAGAGTCTGACTTCTTGTGAAGGCAGTGGATCACGTTGAAAGGCTTTACTATAGTAAAAGTAAACATTCCTCGAATGCTTCCGGTGGCCCAGCTCTGAGTTACACGTATAACTCATTTAATCCTCACAGTAACTGGTGAACTGTGGGAACTTCATTCAGAGCAAGGAAGTGGCAGTCTGAATTTGCAGACAGATCTGTGAATTCAGAGCCTGGGCCCGGATTCTATAGCAATGTTTCTTCAGTCACATAAATGCTCAGGAACTGTATGTTAATTTGTCGTGGATAATTTTTGTTTCATTCATTTAAACAAATATTTGTCAAGCTATGTACTATGACTCACGTCAAGGGAACATAATAAGTTTGTGTTTAGGTAGAGAGCAGTAATTGGATACTTCTCAAAGAACTCTTAGTTTAGCTTGTTACGTGTATGTTGTTTAACTTTGTTACCGGCATATTATTTACGAAGGTCACACATCTATGTTTTATATCTGCAGCAAATCCAGAGCAACTTCATCATTGTCATACATCCAGGTTCAACAACTTTAAGGATTGGTCGAGCCACAGACACTCTTCCTGCCAGCATTCCTCATGTCATTGCGCGAAGACACAAACAACAAGGGCAACCCCTATACAAGGACAGTTGGCTTCTAAGGGAGGGACTAAATGTAAGTCAAAAATGACCTGGAGAGAAAGCCTAAGGCTGTTTCCCTGGGAGGGCGTAGACACTTAAGTACATCAGAATCTTAAAGAAATGTCTTCATAGCTTTGCTGTGTTTTAAAATAATAATGTCACTCATTTTTCATCAGAGCTAGTGACTTGAGATATAAAGAATTAGTTACAACAAAAGTAAGTCTTTCAGGGTGAATTGAGTGTTGATGAAGGTGTTCTATAACGGAAGACACAGAATCATCACTCACTTAAAGTGATACATTCAGGTCCTTGTTAACAGGCTTAAACTTAGTGGTTAAGCCATATTAAGTATCTGAAAGAGATACTATTTCAATCCATTAGCAAATTAGATTGTTACAATAAGCACTTATGGTCTTAGATTACCCATAATTTCAAGGCAAAAAAAAATTTTTCTTGCAGTAAGAATCAACTTTATCTTATGTTACAGATGGTGATTATCAGGAAAATTATTTGTGATCAGTGATAAATCTATATGTTACATCATAATCCACATTTTACTTTGAAGTTTTAAGTCAAGGATAGTTTTGGGAATGTAAAGTTTCTTTAATTCTGATAGTAGGCCTTAGGGTTCCATTTTTTAGTGTAACTAGCAGACCCTATGTAAGTTCAGTTGTAAGTTTAAATATAACTTGCTGATATAAGAGTCTATACTTCATTATTTATCTTTGGATCTTGTAATTCTACTTTAGGAAATACGTTTAAGAAATAAAAATCAAAAAACATTTCTGTAAAGATATTTATGGACATTTTCTTTATACTATAATGAGAACACTTGCTGATCAACATATGAAGGAATGTGACATTGTCAAAATTATAAACATAAGAATCATATAATTGTATGGAAGAGTTTCTGAAATACTTTGTAAACATGAAGTAGGTATGCTTTGATTAGTGCTGTGAGAAATTTTATGAAAAATCACTTGAAAATTTAGCATATAGTTGTTTTATAGCGACGGCTGCTTTTGACTTATAAAAGATTCCTGGGAATTCTTTTTTTCTTGTCTTGAGACAGGGTCTTGCTCTGTTCTTCAGGCTGGAGTGCAGTGGTGTGACCTCGGCTCATTGCACCCTCCACCTCCTGGGCTCAAGCAGTCCTCTCGCCTTAGTCTCCCAAGTAGCTGGGACCACAGGCCTGTGCCACCACACCCAGCTAATTTCTTGTATTTTTTGTAGAGATGGTGTTTTGCCATGTTGCCCAGGCTGGAGGGAATTCTTAAGAGTAGTACATGTGATAAAGATTAAGGAAATGCTACTTGTTGATAAAGGAGCATTTCCAAAGATTGGATTAAATTAGTAGTTTTTGAATTGCTTTCTCTTCTCATTAAATCCTTTGTACTGCTCATCTTTCATTTTCCCCCCGCCAGAAACCAGAAAGTAATGAACAAAGACAAAATGGCCTTAAAATGGTGGATCAAGCAATATGGTCTAAAAAGATGTCCAATGGTACAAGACGCATTCCTGTGTCCCCTGAACAGGTTCGATCAACTCTTCAGATTTATTCTTTTATCACCACTATTTGTATCATAATACCATTCACATGTTCTTCCTGTATCACTATGCAAATACAAGATGGGAGTTCCTTATAAAGGAAGAAAACCCCCCGTAACTACTTACAGAATACCCGAGTCAGTGTTACAAATGCTTAGGCAAGCCACATAATCTATGAGGTGGGGGTAGGCAAGTTGATGTATTTTGCCAAATATTTGTGATTAAAATTTGCCAATGTATCTAGTGTGGGAGAGAAAAGAAAAGGAGACCCTTATGTTGCCCCTGCCTTGAATAAATTGAGATAATTTTCTGATGGTTTTTCTTTTCAGGCACGCTCTTACAATAAGCAGATGCGACCTGCAATTTTAGATCACTGTTCGGGAAATAAGTGGACAAACACATCTCATCACCCTGAGTATTTAGTAGGAGAGGAGGTAAGAAACTTCTTTACACTAAGAATGGAAGAAGGGGAACCTGATCCTCCTCCTAAAATTCACTTACGTTGCCACTGAGTCCTAGTCATTTCCTAGCACTCTATAACCCTACTTTGAGTACCAGATAGTCCCACCGACTCCTATATCACTCTCAACATTTCTCACATTCAGCAAACGTTAGTTAGATTTTTGGATATGAATCCAGAAAACCTTGAGAGGAAAGTTTTAACAAAGTACTCATCTCCCTCCTTCTTTTCTAGGCCTTGTATGTTAATCCACTGGACTGTTACAATATTCACTGGCCTATCAGAAGAGGTCAGTTAAATATTCATCCAGGCCCTGGGGGCTCTCTTACAGCTGTTCTGGCAGATATTGAAGTAATATGGTCTCATGCGATACAAAAATACTTGGAAATCCCACTGAAAGATTTAAAGGTAAGTTAAAATTCTCAGTTAATTTGGATTGTTTTTAAGATTCTTGGTCAATGAAAGTACACATTACCGAGTTGTTTGTAATATAGTGTCCTTCTTGATGCATTCTTGGCCTTCAGGGTGAGGATCTTAGTGGCTTGAGGATGTCTTTTCTTTTTCAGTTAATTCCCTTCTAGTGCTTTTATTCTTTCTCTGTTTCTTTGGTGTCTCTATTACTCAAATCAGCAAGCTTGCTTATTTTTGTCTTCTCTTTGGACCTTACTGACACATCAGTTGTCTTATTTTTCATTTTACAAGTTTTTAATAATTTCAAGGAAAAAAAACACTTGAGCATTTTTTATTTCTTTATAAAACCCATAGGATAATACAGAGGTTTGAGCTTTTATTCTGGGTGTGTAACCGTAGCTGCTACTCCTTTGAAGGGAAGTCTCTCTAAAAAGAAGTGGTGAATTTGACCTGACGAGACTCGAGTGTTAACCCTTTTATCTTTGTTCTTCTTTTTAGTATTATAGATGTATCTTGTTAATTCCTGATATCTATAATAAACAGCATGTGAAGGAACTAGTGAATATGATACTAATGAAGATGGGCTTTTCAGGTATGTCTGATATCCCAGTGAAACCTATTTTAAATGGAATTTTCTTTCTTTAATGACAGAGTTAATCTAATTTATGGATTTATTTATTTATTTATTTATTTTGAGATGGAGTCTCACTCTGTCACCCAGGCTGTAGTGCAGTGGCGCTATCTTGGCTTACTGCAAGCTCCGCCTCCCGGATTCACGCCATTCTCCTGCCTCAGCCTCCTGATTAGCTGGGACTACAGGCGCCCGCCACCACACCCGGCTAATTTTTTGTATTTTTTGGTAGAGATGGGGTTTCACTGTGTTAGCCAGGATGGTCTCGATCTCCTGACCTCGTGATCCGCCCGCTTCAGCCTCCCAAAGTGTTGGGATGGCAGGCGTGAGCCACTGTGCCCGACTTATTTAAATGCTTATTCTGAAAGGATCAGTGTTCCTCAGATACCCTGCCCAGAAGTCCCTAGGCTCCCCACTTCAGTTGATTATCTGTTTTGGGATCTTTGCTGCTCTACAGCTGATCACTACTCTGCCTTTTTTTTTTTTCCCCCCAGGGATCGTGGTCCATCAGGAGTCTGTGTGTGCCACCTATGGCAGTGGCTTAAGCAGCACGTGTATTGTAGACGTTGGGGACCAGAAGACAAGCGTATGCTGTGTGGAGGATGGGGTGTCTCATCGGAATACTCGGTGAGGAACTTGGAAGGTGGCATTCCCTGTTCCCTCTTCCCTCATAATCTGTTCAACTGTAAATAATAAAAAATCACAGGTTAAAAATTATAAGATAACCATATATTCAAAAGTCTGCATAGGAAACCAGCAAGATTATGGAAGTGCAAATTCCAGCAAGGCGAAAACGAATCATTTTACCCTTCCCATTGGAACTTCTTAATACGGATTTACATCAGCAGCCCCTGAAAGTCCTGGTATGTTTTATGTGCTTTCCCATAGAGGAAATGTAAACGGTAGCTTCATGTCTTTAGCTGTGGTTTGGCACAGAGCTACTAATCACACCCTTATAGCAGAGCTTTATTTCGGCAAGTCATGTAGGAGAAAATCGGCTTTTTCAATCTGAACTATCTGGCTAGTGTTTTGAATATCTGCATTTTTTTGTCATAGTGGTGTTCTGTGGGTGAGTAACTTTATGATGATAGACAGGTAAAGAAAATTACTATCAGGACCAGATTTGCAGCTTGTCCTTCTTTAGGCAAGCCTGACATATGTGAGCACACTCAGGTAATGCAGGTGTGGGCTCTCTGAAGCATTTTGTGCTCCAGAGATGGCTTCTTGCTGCCCCTCAGGATGCTTTCATTCTTCCCGTCCTCCACATTAGGCAGTTTGAGTCTTTAAAAGAGGGCTTAAATTGTCCATGAGAAAGGATCATCTGCTGCCTCCCACCCCAAGTTCTAGTACCTTCTAAAATCCATTTTTTTTGGCTCATCTGTTGTTAGAATATCCAGTGCCACTGGGTCTCAAAGTGTGGAGAAAATGCTGGACCCACGTTTCCTACCAATAAAATAATATAGCAGCTGTCTTCCCAAATTGTAGAAACCTTCTTAGTAGACAGCTTTCTCTAAACTGTTCTCTCATAAGTTTGTCTTGTATTGTCATTGTTGCCTTATATGCCAGTGAGTGTAGACCTCCAAACAACTGTCATATGATAAACACATATTGACTGGGAAGTGAGCTGGATTTAATAGTGAGTATTGGGTTTCTCAGATACATTTTCAAACATCATGACTACTTTAGGTGCCCCCCACTGGTTTTTGCTAAAGTTCCTTTTCTCCCTTCCATCCATTCATTCTGTCCATTCAACATACATTTCTTGAAACTTGCTATATATCACTGTGTTTAATGGACATTTTTGTTTGTTTTTTTGTGTTTTTTTTAGATAGAATCTCACTCTGTCATCCAGGCTGGAGTGCAGTGGCGTGATCTCTTGGCTCACTGCAACCTCCGCCTCCCGTGTTCAAGCAAGTCTTGTGCCTCAGCCTCCCACGTAGCTGGGATTACAGGTGTGCATCACCATGCCTGGCTAATTTTTGTATTTTTAGTAGAGATAGGGTTTCGCCATATTGGCCAGCTGGTCTTGAACTCCTCGCCTCAAATGATCTGCCCATCTTGGCCTCCCAAAGTGCTGGGATTACAGGCAGGAACCACCATGCCCAGCCTTTAATGAATTTCTTCAAACACCTTTTGCACCTTCTTAACCAACAGATTAATCATCTACCCTTTTCTCTTAACTTTAGGCTTTGTCTGGCATATGGAGGATCTGATGTGTCAAGATGTTTTTACTGGCTAATGCAGCGAGCTGGGTTCCCTTACAGAGAATGCCAGTTAACAAATAAAATGGATTGTCTTCTTCTGCAACACCTTAAAGAAACTTTTTGTCATTTAGATCAGGTGGGAGCAGAATCAATATTGCTGATTATTTTTGTTTCTAGGACAAAGTTAAGAGATTTAAAAGATACTTAAAAATGTAACAGCATTGGCTGGGCGCGGTGGCTCACACCTGTAATCCCAGCACTTTGGGAGGCCAAGGTGGGCGGATCACGAGGTCAGGAGATTGAAACCATCCTGGCTAACACGGTGAAACCCTGTCTGTACTAAAAATACAAAAAATTAGCCAGGCGCGGTGGCGGGCGCCTGTAGTCCCAGCTACTCAGGAGACTGAGGCAGGAGAAGGGCGTGAACCCGGGAGGCGGAGCTTACAGTAAGCTGAGATTGCGCCACTGCACTCCAGCCTGGGCGACAAAGTGAGACTCCGTCTCAAAAAAATAAATAAAAAAATAAAGTATCAGCATTATACTGCCTTTTTCAACCCAAGATAAAGCCTTGAGGAGAAAGCCCTTAAGGAGTGAAAGTTTTTTGGGTTTTTTTGCTAAGGTCTAAGCAGTGAGGGTGTGTCTCAGGCTCTGGAAAACAGTTTGATTTTTTTAGGAAACAGAGTTTAGCAAATTTCTCTGTCTCGATAAGAGGTGAAGATAAACCTTTAGGTGTAAGGAGGATAGTAGGTAAATATGTAAGTACAGACATTTTGTTAAATGTTATAATTTGAAGCACTTTCTTAATATTGCAAACAATGTTTAATCATTGCTATATATGGATTGGTATCCTTTTTTGTTTGAGACTTGTTTTTACTTTTTTCAGGTACTAAATTTTAAAAAATTAGGGAAACATAAAAATACTGTAAATTTCCCAGTTACTGAGGGAATTTGCTTATTGATTTGGGTCATTGTTTGTACTAATGTATATTGATAATGGAGAAAACAAATAATGCAAACAGTAGAAATTCCAGAAATTTTAGATAGAGGAACAAAGTATAGCTGAATTCCTATTTTAAGTTATAGTGAGAGTGGTACAAAGCTGTAGGTTGTCCTTTTTATAGGTGATATTTAGATGATGGTGAGGCTGAAGCATAATTTGAAGAGTTTACATGCATTCTTACTGATTCACTGACAGCATCTTTTCCTGGAATCAGGACATCTCTGGGCTTCAGGACCATGAGTTTCAGATTCGACATCCTGATTCTCCTGCCCTGCTTTACCAGTTTCGATTAGGAGATGAAAAACTCCAGGTAACTTATAGGTGTCTGTTTCCATGGGTAGAATGAAAGTTATCCAGGTTCAGTCACACTGAGAGAATATGCACTTGCTGGAAACATTGTGAGATCAGAATGTCAACTGATTGTAGATTATCCACTAAACCAACATTTAAGCCACTGGTATAGAAAAACATCTTTCTAGTTAGCCCCTGTATGAGGAGTTGTTAATTAGAGAGAAAGGTAGCATTCTTTTTAGGAAATTATGAAGTAGATTATGAAGTACTTTATATTTGTTTTGAGATTTCTCTCATATGGTGTCATATCACCCATCTAGTTGGATGATGAGTGAGTTTTCTGGCCTGTGGTACACCAGAGAAATAATGCCACTCCCAAAAGAGAAGATTGCCTAGTCTAACTTAGAGAATCTGATCTGCCAGTTTTGTTTTTAGAAGAACAGTGTTTAGTGGATCAGTTTTTTTCAGGAGGCAGTATCTTTTGTTGATCACTCTTTTCCTTCCATGCACAGGCTCCAATGGCTTTATTCTACCCCGCAACTTTTGGAATTGTTGGACAGAAAATGACGACTTTGCAGCACAGATCTCAGGGCGATCCTGAGGATCCTCACGATGAACATTACCTGCTGGCCACACAGAGCAAACAAGAACAGGTCCGTAGCAATTCTGGTAGGAGAAGAGAGAGTTTTGTCCCTGAAGGAGAAATTTGTCCAGCGTTAATAGGCCATTGTAATCAGTTCTAACTTCCAGCATAACACTGATATAGCTTTTAGAATTGTAGATCAACTGAAGTCTGAGTTTAAAATCTGGAAGACAGATTTCTCTATTCAGCAAACATTAATTTTCTGAATGCTAGTCCATACATTTAAAAGTTAATGACACTTTCCTTTTGGTGTGTATCATTTACTTACATTATCTACTTCTGAATATTTTTTCAGCAGTATTTTCATTAAAATCTCACCTGTTACTTAATTTTGTGAAAGATGCATGGTATAGCCAAAGAGCTGAATTCCTTTGTTGAAAGCGGATCCCCGTAATACGATGTCTGGTACAGGCGCACAAATTAAAGGTCTTGTCTGCTAATGAAACAGCACCAGCTCATGATGGAGACTAGATTTTCTAGTCTTTGTTCCTCCCCAGAGGCAAACATGAGGTGGACTGATAGGATCTGAAAGTAAGAATTCCTTAACAGTCATGGCCCATGAATCCCACTGGAATACTCCATTTAAAAACTCAGGGCGCGGGGAATAAAGTCTGTCTGCACTGGTTTTTCAGTTTTTAAATCTAACCAGTGATGATACAGTTCTGAGAGCCAACCTGCCTACTGGCAGCTACCCTGCTTTGGAATGGTCAGAGCATCTTTATCTGTGCACCGTCTCTCATTCCTGTTACCTGGGAATGGGTGCTGGGCAGTTGTTGTATTGCTGCGTGACTTTTGTTTTATACTAGTGCATAGTAGTAGGGTAGGGAGGGATCTAGCTAGACAACATCAACAGTGTTCTGTTGTAGTAATACCACCTACTTGATTGTCCTTTTGATTTAAAGTCTGCAAAAGCTACTGCTGACCGAAAGTCTGCATCCAAACCTATTGGATTTGAAGGAGATCTTCGTGGCCAGTCCTCTGATCTTCCAGAAAGACTCCATTCCCAAGAAGTAGATTTGGGGTCCTCACAGGGAGATGGCCTGATGGCTGGCAACGATTCCGAGGAGGCCCTCACTGCACTGATGTCCAGGAAGACTGCCATCTCGCTGTTTGAAGGGAAAGCCCTGGGCCTGGATAAAGCCATCCTTCATAGCATAGACTGCTGTTGTAAGCACATCTGGGGAGACCGGGAGATAACAGTGAAACAAGATAGCAGTTAAATAAATTAGTTCAGTCTAGGATATACTTGCGCAGTGTAACATATTCAATGAAAAACAGTTAAGCGCCTACTTGACTTGCATTGCCAGGTGTTGGGAATACATTAATGAGGTAGGATGGGTTTATACCCTAGTGGAAGAAGCCAAAATAAGTCAAATTATTACACAAATGTGGAATTACCACTGGCAGGGTACTGTTGAGCAGTCAGTATCCTTTAGCTCAACTTTGTAGCACCTGCTAGTGGTAATTTCACATTTGTGTAATAATTTGAGGAATTTCACATAGAATCTTTATTCCCTAGGGGATGGTATGGAAGGTGGGAGGCAGGGAAAGCTTCCTTGAGGAAGGTGGCCCTTGAGAGAGACGTAAAGGATGATGAAAGGGGTCAGTTAGCAGTAACAGATGGGGTAGAGGAAGAAGCCTGTGAAGATCAATGTGGCTGGGAAGCAGAGTGTGAGGATGAGGCTAGAGAAGCGGGTGAGGACCACCCATAGTGGATCTTGTGGGTCCCTTTAAATATTTTATTTATTTATTTATTTTCAGACAGAGTCTCACGCTTGCTCAGGCTGGAGTGCAATGGCGTGATCTCGGCTCACCATAACCTCTGCCTCCTGGGTTCAAGTGATTCTCCTGCCTCAGCCTCCCAAGTAGCTGGGACTATAGGCGCACACACTACCATTCCCAGCTAATTTTTGTCTTTTTAGTAGGGACGGGGTTTCACTATGTTGGCCAGGCTGGTTTCGAACTCCTGACCTGGTGATCCACCCGCCTTGGCCTCCCATAGTTCTGGGATTACAGGCGTGAGCCACCACACTCAGACTGCTACAAATTTTGATCCTAATCCTGCAAGTAGGATTCAGTGGCGTGGCAACACGCCTACATTTGTGTTTTGTAGGGTTCCCCTGGCTGCAGTGTGGAGGGTGGGCTGGAGGGAAATCTTTGAGAAGGCTATTGCACTTGCCCAAGCAAGAGGTGTTGGTGGCTTGGCCTAGAATTATGGATGTGGAGAGAAAAGCATGGAGGATGTCACTGTCTTTTCAGCATCCGATGATACCAAAAAGAAGATGTACAGCTCCATCCTAGTGGTGGGAGGTGGTTTGATGTTTCATAAAGCTCAAGAATTTCTGCAGCACAGAATTCTCAACAAAATGCCACCATCGTTCAGGCGAATTATTGAAAATGTGGATGTGATCACAAGGCCTAAGGTAGGTTGTTTTATTCTGCAAGTTGGACTGTATACAAATGAAACCAGCCTTGTACGTGGACAGATCAGATCCCAGGAGGCATGGGCTTGTGTCTGAGGAGTTCTTGAGGGCTTAGGGCAAGTGGGAAAGTTAATTTCAGCAAGCCATAGATGTGGTGGAAGGTGCTCTGGCCTAAGGTACTGGATTTCTGCTGCTTTCCCCTGCCGCGCTTCCCAAACTAGCATGACTGAATTCCACCTTTGTTGGGCAAGGGGAGGACAGACTGCTCTCAAGCCCTGCCAGCCAGAACAGCTCCATTTTAATCTCTTTTTTATATGAAGGATCTACTTCTGGTCCCTGGACCAGATGATATTTAAGGATCTTTTTGGTTTGAACTATCTTGAAAGATAAACCCAGGAATTTATAAATAGATTTTGTGTGTTTTATTAAATGTCACTAACAATTTCTGGAAATGTTCCTATTTCTTTTTAATCCTGAGGGAGGGATTGTGGGGATCTATTTATTCCATTCAAACTTCGAAATAAATAAGTCATTTGTATATGTTCCTGTGTACAGGGTAAACAGTATTTGTGCAATAGTAGTAAATAATAGAATCTTTAGTTATAAAAATTTAAAAGTTTTCTTGGCTATTGAAAGAGAAAGATGCCTGTAGTTCATAAGTACTACTGTCTTTAATACAGGTTGAAAGCCTGGCTTACTAGGTATTGACTCAGCAGGGATTTTTCTCGGCCCCATATTCAAGTAAATGATTGAGTATGTATCTTATGTGATTAGGCTAAAATGTCTTCATCCCTTTTCTAGGACATGGACCCCCGACTGATTGCATGGAAAGGAGGGGCAGTGTTGGCTTGTTTGGATACAACACAGGAACTGTGGATTTATCAGCGAGAGTGGCAGCGCTTTGGTGTCCGCATGTTACGAGAGCGGGCTGCGTTTGTGTGGTGAATGGGGAGGAAATGTCACTGCTGAAGACCAAAAACAAGCTTCTTGGTATAAAAGACTCTTACAGAATATATGTATTGTAATTTATTGGCCTAGATGCTTAAGTGTCATGGACAGTAAATGAATTTGAACTTTATGTTGAGGACATGATACTGGTTTGAAATTATAAACTGCTTTTGAGCAGTTTGGTCAGGGCATTTGAGAATAAATAGGAACTTACTCTTCAGTTGTAAACTCTCTTGCCCTCTCTCAGGGTCTCATAAACTCCCCAGTGATGTAGACATTGCTATTGAAGTTTCTCATGTGGTGAAGCCCTTCATTTAAGTTGGCTCGTTGAATCTCATCAGCAGGCAGCCTCATAAAACCATGAGGGGTAGTGTGTGACGAGGGAGAACTGTCCACTCATGCCATTCTCTCTCTTGTCTAGTATTTCATTAGGATCTAAAGTTGTCTGAGTTAAATGCACTTATGATATGACTCATATGTCCTTTTAGAATCCCAAATAGGGGGAAAAAGTTTTGGTGGTTTTTGGTTTTTTTCATTTTCTGTTGGATTACAGAAAAAGAATGGGACCCATTCAAGTCTCGATTTCCAAAGGTAAAGATGGAAGGCTGGGCAGACTAGCTTTTGTTATCTGACATGCCCTAGGGTGAGCTTGGAGGAAGAAAGAAAACAGTTTTTATTTGGCCAAAACAGAACAAATGCTGAAAAGGAAATCTTGTTTTCTTCCTAAAGCTAAATAGAAATGATTTGGGTATAATTTAGAGTTCTTGTGTTATACTGATAATGGTGACTGATGTAGTTATTAATACTACAAACTTAGTCATCAAGCCCCAATTTTCCTTTACCTGAAGGATTAAGTGAAAGCTTCTGGAGTTCATGATGTTCAGTATGATTAGTTGACATTAACCTCTGAGCATCCTGAAGCAAAATCTAAATAATACAGCTATTACCACTGGTGGTCCAGGCTCTAGTGAAACCCTCTGAGCCCAGGAGGAAGAGAAGGCATTGTCCAGAGACAGGAACACAGTCTGGGAGCCCAGCGCTCTGGGCAGGAGTGGGAAAATGCTGCTTCCTGCTGCTTCCTCCTAGGCACCTGCTTCCGCCATCTCGCTTATCAAGGCTGGAGATGGGGGTGAGACGGAAGGACAAAAGCAGGGAACAGGTAAGAGATGGAAATCAGAATGGAATACAGAAAAATCTCTGGATGTGGAGAAATGCCGGTACTAGAGCATTTTGTATCAATGGGAGTACCCTCTGTAACTGCTCAGTAGGTTACAAATGAAGAGTCTACCAGTATTAAAAATAGTTTAAACTTGCCAGTACCAACTGGGATGTGTGCCTTCAATTTGAAAATTGTATGTTTTATTTTTTAAATGTGTTAACAACATTATAGAATATTGATGTCATTTATGTTTCTGGGGTGTTTCGATGCAATTTCGTATCAGCTGCCTGTTTTCAAAAACATAATGTATCTGGGCTGGGCGCGGTGGCTCACGCCTGTAATCCCAGCGCTTTGGGCAGCCGAGGCGGGTGGATCAGGAGGTCAGGAGATCGAGACCATCCTGGCTAACATGGTGAAACCCCATCTCTACTAAAAATGCAATAAATTAGCCGTGGTGGCGGGTGCCTGTAGTCCCAGCTACTCGGGAGGCTGAGGCAGGAGAATGGTGTGAACCCAGGAGGCGGAGCTTGCAGCCGAGATCCCGCCACTGCACTCCAGCCTTGGCGACAGAGCAAGACTCCGTCTCAGAAAAACAAAACAAAACATAATGCATTTCTTGTTAAATAGTTCTTCACCTAACAGCATATTGCTCTTATAACTGGTAGAGCTGATTCAAAGGAAGTTGGTTTCTGGTCCAAGTTTGACCTCAACCATGTCCATCTTCTGCTACCAGCACTTACAAGCACTGTGGAAACTGATCATGACAAATAAGTGAAATTTGCTACATTAAACATATTGCCTCAGCCATTACTAAGTGTCCACTTGTAAAGCTGGACACAGTTTTTATTTTATGCTTCATTTTGATTTTTTATCCTTAAGACATAAATTAGAAGGCATGAGGTGGCCCTTTAAGGGTAATCTGCAAATATACACATTTTAATAGTCATCCATCTGAAATTGATCCACATTCCAGAGAAGATTCAGTATTGTGCTGTGTGAAATAAGCATTCCCAGAAAAAAACATATATGCTAATATAATGTAACCTCTGCATTAAGAAAAAGATGCTTTTAGGCCAGGCTTACACCTGTAATCCCAGCACTTTGGGAGGCCCAGGCGGGCGGATCATGAGGTCAGGCGATCAAGACCATCCTGGCTAAGACAGTGAAACCCCATCTCTACTAAAAATACAAAAAATTAGCTGGCGTGGTGGCGGGCGCCTGTAGTCCCAGCTACTCGGGAGGCTTCGGCAAGAGAATGGCATGAACCCGGGAGGTGGAGCTTATGGTGAGCCAAGAGAGCGCCACTGCACTCCAGCCTGGTTGAGAGAGGGAGACTCCGTCTCAAAAAAAAAAAAAAAAATTAAAGATGCTTTTAGAAGAGTAAAAAGTTGGAAGACAAAATGCACCATCTTTTGTGTTCTGTCATTCTGTGGGGGTTTTTTCATTTGTTTGTTTGTTTTAGACAGGGTCTCGCTGTCACCTAGGATGGAGTGCAGTGGCACAATCACCATTTACTGCACCCTTGACCTCCAGGGCTCAAGTGATCCTCCCACCTCAGCCTCCCTAGTAGCTGGGACCACAGGCTCACACCATCACACTCAGCTAATTTTAAAATCTTTTGTAGAGATGGAGGTCTCGCTTTGTGACCTAGTCTGGTCTTGAGTGATCCTTTTGCCTTGGCCTTGCCAAAGTGCTGGCATTGGAGGCATGAGCCATTGCACCCAGCCCTGTTTTTTATTTAAGTAAACCATTATAATAACTGATTTATAAAAAGGTTACTTCAAGAGGGCTTTCAACTTAAGAATTATTTTCATTTAACTAAGACAGTGACCTCTAATAGGTAACTTTAGGCAAAAGTAGACAAGTTTGTGGGTAATGTATTTTGGTGTTCATGTTAAAAGGCACCTGTACAAGAATCAAGATATGAATCTAGTTTGTAGAGGGGGAGTCTTATGCAAACACTAAATACAAGTGGTTACACATATACTAGATCATCGGGTTCAGTAAAGGTGGGTTCAGCTTGTTTATTGCCTACTTTTGTTATCTTAAAAACCATGATTTTTTGCACGTAATAGAAAGTTTTTCACCTAAGATGCTATTGAGTGAACCAGTGAGGGGTTCTTAGATTCGGTATTCATTAATTAAACGTAGAATATTAGCTAAACAGTTCTGTGTACATTGCAATGCATGGACTATGCAAGACTAGATGTTTGGCTGGAAGATACTTTATTGTTGCATTATCAAAATGGTTATAGTTTTCAATTAAAACTAATTGATTTCTATGTATAAAACTAATCTAGCTTTGAAGTTGTAAATGTAGTTTCTTTAGTTAATGCTACATCAGTTAGCAGTATTTGAAAATTTTATTGGCATAAAATGTTTTAATTACTAAGGCTATTTGTAGGCTACATAGTAAGCTTCAGGATTATCACACGTTTTTTCCTTGTAATTGGTGGGGTAGGAAGCCTTTAAGGTCTCTTGCTTCTCATGGGTGGGCTACAAGGAGCAGCAGCCATTGTGGCAGGCTTGCGATCTTTTTCCTGCTGACACCTGCTGCTTGACGTGGAGAAGTTCTGCACAGAAAGCAGTGGCATCCTTCATGAGGTGGTACTTGGGGCAGACACTGAGAGCATTATAATTGTCTTTGGTATCAGTCTCTCTAAAGTAGACCACCACATATTTGTGCAGATGAGTCTGGCTTCTTAGATCACTGCAGAAAAGGTTAAAGGCAAGGGGGAAGAGGTCTTGAGAGTTCTCACTGGGACTGCCCTCACTCTTGGCACAGGTACCATCGCAAACACTGTTGACGTCATTGGAAAGAAGGAAGACAACTTTGTCTGCTGCCTTCTTTTGAGTGGCAAGCCACTGCACTGGACCCATCTCTGCTATTTTCTTTTTCTGCCACTTTTCAAGGATGACCTCACTTCTGCAATGGTTTTGAAGAAATTCAGTGAAGTAACAAATTGTGTGATGGAAACATATTTCAGATGGGTAAACCACAAGAACCTTAATGGGGGGCAGTAGTGTGGTGGTAGAAAAGGAAGTCATCTTGTTCCTTTCTGTCAGGGGAGAAAAGCATTTGTTATCTGTGAACAGTAAACAGCAGGCTTTCACTCTGTAAACCATCCCTGACAAATGAACCCTTGTTAGAGAATGTCAGCTGAGCACCAAGGGCCTCCTTAGTGACAGCAAGGAAAAACATCCTGATGTTCCTTTTGAACACATCACCTGAAACACACTGATGCTTAAACCTTAACTTTTTAAACCTTATTTGAAGGGGTGGCCTGCCCCTCCACACTTGTGGGCGTTTCTTGTTAGGTGGAACGAGAGACTTAAGAAAAGAAATGAGACACAGAGACAAAGTATAGGGAAAGAAAAAGTGGGCCCAGGGGACTGGTGCTCAGCATATAGAGGACCCACGCCAGCACCGATCTCTGAGTTCCCTCAGTATTTATTGATCATTATCTTTACCATCTTAGAAAAAGGGAAGTGGCAGGATAATAGGATCATGGTAGGGAGGTCAGCAGTAAGACATATGAATAAAGATCTCTGTGACATTGAATAAGTTTAAGGATATGCCTTGATATGCATATGCAAACATCTCCATAAACCTTTTTAGTGCATAAAGAGCAGCACTGCCGCTAGCACGTCCCACCTTCAGCCCTAAGGCGGTTTTCTCCTTTCTCAGTAAACAGAACATACAGTAAGGTTTTACACCGAGATGTTCCATTGCCCAGGGACGGGCAGGAGACAGATGCTTTTCTCTATCTCAACTGCCAAGAGGCCTTCTTTCCTCTTATACTAGTCCTCAGCACAGACCCTTCACGGGTGTCAGGCTGGGGGACGATCAGGTCTTTCCCTTCCCACGAGGCCATATTTCAGACTATTACATGGGGAGAAACCTTGGACAATACCTAGCCTTCCTAGGCAGAGGTCCCTGCGACCTTTGGCAGTGTGTGACCTTTGGCAGTGTATGTGTCCCTGGGAATTTGAGATTAAGAGAATGGCGATGACTTTTCACAAGCATACTGCCTTCAGGCACTTGTTTAACAAAGCACGCCCTGCACAG